GGCGTACATGTCTAGGAGCTGTTTAAACTCAGCAGTAAACTGGGAGGCCTACAACTTATTTCGCTTATTGGGAGATGGTTTGTATATGCACAGAAGCGTAATCGCTTGGTCACAATAATAATTGTATCAGATTAATTGTTATTATATCATATTGTTTCAGATTAGACTGTAATTATCTTAGAATGTATCAAATCTGATTTTATCAAACTATATAAGAGTGTATAAGTTTGTAAAACTTAATATAGGTATTGTTTTAAATTGTAAAATATTATATGAGAATTTATCAGATAATTTCAGATTATATCAGATTGTGTCAGATTATATCCCATTGTAATAGATTGTAATTGTATCAGATTTTATCAAATCTGACTCTATAAGATAACATCAAACTGTATCAGATTATATCAGAATGTATCAAATTAAAACAGATTGGATCAGACTGCATTCATTGAATTAGATTGAAATTAAAGCAGATTGTATCAAATTTGATTATATCAGTTTATATAAGATGATATTTGATTGTATCAGATTATATGAGTTTGTTACAATTTGTAAAATGCTGTATACGAATAGATTCGGATTGTACACAACTGTTCTAGAACATATTATATTGTACCAGATTTTATCAGATTGTATCAAACTGTATTAGATTATATCAGAGTGTATCATATTGAATCAGATTTTATCAGATTGCAATTGAACCAGAATTTATCCAATCAAATTATGTCAGATTATTTCAATTTATGCCATAATTGATTACATCATATTATTTTAGATCATATTTGATTGTAATAGATACTGTCACCATTTAGTAAATTCTAATTGTATCAGATTGTATAAAATTTGACTCTATCAGATTACACCAAACTGTATCAGATTATATCAGATTACGTCAGATTATTGCGAATTATATAACATTTTATAAAAATGCATCGGATGATATCATATTTTATCATATTGAATAAGATTTCATTACATTGAATTATACTGTAATTATATAAGATTGTATTAATCTGATTATATCAGTTTATTCAGATGATATCAGATTGTTTCAGATTATATAAGATTGTATTAATTTTTAATATATTGTTTAGGAATTGATTTGGATTGTATCAAATTGTATCAGATTATATAATATGGTTTAAAGAATTTAATCAGATTACATCAAACTGTATCAAATGATTCTAGATTGTATTAGATTATATCAGATTGTAACAAAGTGCATCGAATTGATTCGGATTGTATTAGACTGTAATGGTACAAGATTTTATCTGATCCGATTATATCAGATTAATTCATTTTGTACAAGATTGTATCATAGAATATCACATTATATCAGAATATATACGCTTATTTTTAGATTTTATTAGATTTTTTTAGATTGTGTCAGATTATATCAGTTTGTATCATATTATATAATATTGTATCAAATTAAATCAGTTTGAATTAGATTGTAATTGTATCAAATTTTATAAATTAGATTATATCAGATTATTTCAGTTATTGTATCAAATTATATTTGATCATATAATATTATATCAGATTAATTTAGATTATTTCAAATTATATCAGATATTTTCAGATTATATCAGATCGTGGCAGATTATATCCAATTGCAAATGATTTTAATTGTATAAAATGTTATCAAATTTTTCTCTTTTATATTATGTCAGATTATATAAGTTTGTGTCAGATTATTATAGATTACTTCAAATTATATCAAAATAAAAAAGATTATTTCAGACTATATGATGCTTTTATCAGATTATAATAGATTAAATAAGATTTTACCTTATATCACATTGTATAAGATTGTATTAGATGGTATCAAATTAAATCAAATTGAATTATATTGTTATGTATCAGAGTGTATGAAATCAGCTTATATCAGATTATTTCAGATAATATTAGAGTGTATCAGATTATATCAAATTATTTTAGATTATTTTAAATTATATCAGATGACTTTAGATTTTATCAGATTGTGTCAGATTATATCAAATTATAATACAGTTTAATTGTATATCATTTTATCAAATCCTTTTCTATCATTTTATTTCAGATTATATCAAATTGTGTCAAGGTATTATGGATTATTTCACATTTGATCAGATTATATACGATTAATTCAGATTATATCATATTATTTCAGATTTTATCAGATTATATTATCAGATTCTATAAAAATATTTTATGTTACATCAGATTTTATCAGATTTTAATTGATTTTAAAAGACTACAAAGATTACCTGAGATTAATTCCATTTAAACAGAAGCCGGATAGACTGATCAGAGCAAAACGCACCATGAACACTGACTTCACCACTGACATTTCCATAATCAATCACACCCCAAAAAATAGCAAATGCTTCAAAGTGCCACAGTGCAACACAGTGCAGTATTAACAATCTTTCTTCCCACGCACAATAATAGCATGGAACCTCCAGGACAATGCCACTGTGAACTCGACATCGGTTGAAAGCTCCAAGGCTTCCCTAGCGTCAGCTAGGAGCTGTTAGAAAAGCAACATCATACCCCCAACCGTTGCACAAATGGCAGTACATGGATGTAGCAACGAAGACTACCAGAACCAGAACCAGAAATAAGATTGTATCTGAATGTATCAGATTGTATCAGATTATATGAGTTAGTATTTGATTCTATCAGATTTATCAAATTAGATTGTATTAGATTATAATTGTGTAAGATTATATTAAATTAGATTATGTCCACTTGTATTAGATTATATACTATTTTTGAAAGATTGAATCAGATTACATCAATCTGTATAAAATTATGTCAGATTGTTTTAGCTTACACCCGATTGTATCAGACTGTATCAAACTGAATCAGATTTTATTTGATTGTAATGGAATCAGATTGTATTAATCATATTATATCGGATTAATTTTTATTATGTCATATTGTTTCAGATTATATCACATTGTATCAAAATATATAAGACTATTTTATATTATTTTATATTTCATTTGATTATTTTAGATTCTATCAGATTATATCAAATTAAATCAGTTTTTAGTAGAGTGTCATTTTATTAGATTTGATTAAATTATATTATATCTGATTATATTATATAATATTAGTTTTAATCTGATTAAATGGGATTATTTCATTTTTATCGAGATAGTTTTACATTATAACATATTATTTCTCATTTTACCAGAATATATAAAATTACTATAAATTACATTTGGTTGTATCATATTATATAAGATTATTTCATATAACATATTGTATCATATGATATCAGATATTGTTAGATTTTAATTGTATCAGATTGTATGACATGAGATTATATCAGAGTATTTCAGATAATTTTGTATTGAATCCGATTATATCAGATTATTTCACATTTTATTAGATTATATCAAATTATTTCAGATTATATCAGATAATGTTATATTATAAAAGATTTAGATAGTTAATCGAGAATAGTAATAGATTTTAATTGTATAAGATTGTATAAAATCTGACTCAAATATTAGATTACATTAAACCGTATTAAATTTTATCAGATTGTTTCAATTTGTATACTATTTTATCTGAAGGCATAATTAGTATAAGACTGTATATTATTAAATAAGACTTCAATAGTTTAAGATCGTATCAAATCTGATTATATCAGTTTATATTAGATGATATTTGATTGTATCAGGTTAAATATGATTGTCAAAATTAAAAAAGACACTGTATAGGATTTTTTTCAGACTGTATCAAATTGTATTAAATTATATTATATTGTATCAGAATTTCATCAGGTTAAATTGAACTTTATCAGATTGTATCAGATTATATCAGGTTGTATCAAATATAATAAGATTGTATTAGGTTGTTACTGTATCGGTTTTATTAAATCAGATTAAATCACATTATTTCGTCTTATATCAGAATATATACACCGTCCATCCTCATTATCCGTCATCCAGCGTCATACAGGGTTATTCAACGTGATCAACCTTAACCTCCATCATTAACCGTCATCCACTGACATCCATCGTACTCTATCACTATCCACCGCCATTTACAGTGATCCAACGTGATCCACCGTCATCCACCGTCGTCCACAGTCATCCACATTCATCCACAGTCATCTACCGTTATCCACGATAACCTAACGTCATCCTATAAATCTATCGTCATCCACCATTATGCACCATCATCCATATTCATCAACCATCATCTACTGACATTCATCAACATCCAACATCATCCACCATCATTAACCGTCACACACAGTCATCCACCATCATCCAACATCATCCACTTTAATCCTATTTTTTTCTACCCTCATCCACCATCATCCATCGTCGTGCACCGTAATCGACCGTAATCCACCGTCATCCAACTTCATCCACCGTCATCCCATGTCATCCATTGTCATCCAACATCATCCTCGTTTATCCACTGTCATCCACAGTCATCCCAGGTCATCTCAGGTCATTCACGTTCATCCATCAGCATCCACAGAGATCCACCGTCATCAATCGTCATTTTTCTACGTCCACTGTCACTAACAGTCATTCGACATCATCCATCGTGATCCACAATGATCAACCGTGAGCCACCGTCATCCATTGTCATTCAGTGTCATCCACCGTAATCCACTGTCATTCAATGTGAACCACTGTCATCAGCGGTCATCCACCGTCATCCAACGTCATCATATACATCCCCCGTCATCCACATATATCCATATTCATCAACCGACATCTACCATCATCCACTATCATCTACGTCATACACCGTCATACACGGTCATCCAACGTTATCCATCGTCATCCTATTTCATTTACCGTCATCCACCTTTATCCATCGTCATCCATCGTCATCCACCGTCATCGACCTTCATCCAATGTCATGCACCGTCATTCAAAGTCATTCTTAGTCATCCATCGACATTCACCGCCATCATCTAACGTAATCCTAAGTCATCCAAAGTCATCCATAGCCAGCCTCTGTCATCCACCGTCATCGAACTTTATCCACCGTCATCCACAGTCATCCTTCGTAAACCACAATCATCCATCGTCATCTACGGTCATCCTCCATCATCCACCGTAATTAACCATAATTCAACTAGATCCACCTTCATTTACTGTCATCCTCCGTCATACATTGTAATCCACCGAATTCCACCGCAAACAATCACTTTCACTTTTATTATCACTATCATACAACATCCGCTGTCATCCAACTTCATCCACTGTCATCCACGGTTATGTAGGACAATTTTCCCCGGGAGTGAACTTTGCTTGACTCCAAATTAGATTTCTAGCATACGTTACGTTCATAGATGGGCATGGCTTAGTCTTTTGATCCGTCGTGTTTACTACCGACTACCAATTAAACATGTTTAGTCTGTCTCTTAGTATCTTGTCGAAAGTTTCCGCTTTGCCGAGAAAGTAAACAATGTCTGAGTAGTTTCTGGAAGGCAGTACTTACGCTGCAAATATAAGGGATTGACAGGGACAGAGGTTCACGGAGATTGAGGTAGAGATTCAGATAGATTGATGGATATTTTTTTAACTTCACGAGACGTGTATTATTCTTTGTGTACTCATAGGTTTTTATTCGCATTCGTCATTATTAATTGGCATATTCTACTAATTGTGTACCGGTACAAGACATTCTCATACTCTGTAGGTTGATCATTTGTAATTATATTTTCTTTTGTTTTGTAATTACATTATTAGTGATTTAAATCGTATTAATTGTAATTGGTATTGTTTTAGGTGTCGTATTTTAGTTATTTTATTTCTCTATGGTATCTTCCTTTGTTAGGTACTGCTTGAACGAGCCATAAATTTAAAATAGGAGATTAATTTCTCACAATAGAAGGCAGTGCGTAACACCACTGTCATCCACAGTCAGCCACTGTCACTCATCGTCATCCACCATGATTCACGGTCATCCACCAACATCAACCGTGATCCACGGGCATTGACGGTCATCCTTTGTCATCATCCATCATCCACCATCATCCAAAGTCATCCATATGTATCAACCGACAACTACTGTCATCCACCATCATCCACCGTCACCCAACGTCATCCAATGTCATTCACTGTCATCCAATGTCATTCACTGTCATCCAACGTAATCGTTAGTCTTTCAAGGACATTCACAGTCATCCTATTTCATCCAGCGTCATCTAACGTCATCTTAAGTCATGCAAAGCCATCCACTATCATCCACCATTATCTAACGTCATCCTCGGTCATCCACTGTCATCCACTTTCATTGACCATCATTAACCTTCATCCACCGTCATCCACGATCATTCTTTATCATCCACCTTAATCAACCCTTATTCACGTAGGTCCAGTGTCATTTAACGTTATCCTCCCTCATACATTGTCATCCACAGAATTCCACCGCAAACCACCGTCATCCACCGTAAAGAAAATTCATTTAAACATCCACGTTCAATTTTATTATCACCATCATAACTCATCCAACATCCACCGTCATCCATTGTTATTCACTGTCATTCACCGTCGTCCAATGTCATCCACTGTCATTCACCTTCAACCACCGTAATCCACCATCATTCTCCTTCATCTACCGTCTTCCAACTCATCCACCGTCATCCACCATCATCTATCTACGCCCACCATCGATAAAAAGTCATCCACCGCCATCCACCGTGATCCACCATAATTCACAGTGATATAAACTTTTAGAAAATATAACATTTTATAAACTTTTAGTAAATATTAAAAAAATTATTGAAATTTTTAGAAAATTTGAGAAACGCTTAGAAAATATAAGAAAATAATGTACAGTTTTAGAAACTATTACAAAATATTAGAAAGTTTTAGAAACTTTTACAAAATAATTTTTAAAATATTAGAAGAAATTAATAAATATTTGAAAATGTTATGTAGCATCGAGGTAGCATCGAGGTAGCATCAAGGCAGCATCAACGTACCATCAAGGTGGTATCTAGATAGTTACGAGGCATCATTGAAGCATTAGGGTAGCATCAGGGTCGCATCAAGGTGTTATCAAGAGATGATCAAGGTAGCATCATGGGAGCATCAGGGTAGCATCAGGGTAGCATAACTATAGCATCAAAGTAACATTGCGAGCATAAAGGTAGTATCCATGTACCATCAAGATAGCATCGAGGTAGCATCAGTGTAGAATTCAGGCAGCGGCGAGATAGAATCGAGGTAGTAACAAGGTAGCATCGAAGTAGCGTCGACGTAGCATCGAGGTAGCAATCAAGGTATAATCAAGTTAGCATCGAGAAAGATTTATTGTGAGGAAGATTTAGAAACTTTAAGAAAATATAAGAAATATTAGAAAGTTTTAGAAAATATTGGACAAATTTAGCAAATATTATTTTTTTTTATAGAAAATATTAGACAGTTTTAGAAAGTTTTACAAAATATTAGAAAATATCAAATCCATTTCACACCCAATTAAAACACATTTTAAAACCAACAGATACACAATTGACACCAAATTCACATACAAGTCCCATCCAATTAAAACCAAATTGAATTACAATTAACACCAAATTCACACCTAATTCAATTCCGATAAACACCCCAATTGACACCCAATAAACAACTAATTGACACTCAATATATACCCAATTCACATCCAATTCACACCCTCTTGAAAACCAATTGAAACCAAATTGAAACCAAATTCACATTCAATTCACACCCAAGTCACACCCAATTCACACCAAATTAACACCCAAATAACAACCCATTCACTTCCAATACATACACATATACAGACAATTCAAACCTAATTCATGCCTATATGACACAAAATACACACCTCATACACACCCTATTTACACCTGATACATCCGCAATAAACACCCAATTTACACCCAATCGACAATCAATTCACACCTAATTCACACGAAATTGAAAGCCAATAAAAACCCTTTTATGTTTTCAATGTTTTTATTTCAAACAAGTAACATAAACATATATGTACATAAATACAAGTTCTCAGGTGTTGACTTTCTGCTTGCTTCCGGAACACGGTTCATAAACACACACACTCTGTCCAGTCTCTCTGCGCATGCGCACTGTTTCCTTGGATGGCTATCGGTACGGGCTAGTCCACTCGTCCACCATAACACCTCCCGGAACAATTAAAAGTCCAGTAACAATGGTGTTCGACGTTGCCTTTGAGATCTTCTGGATATGACATAGTCTGAAGGTTCTGGATGTCAAGGGTTAATCTTCTTCTTAGGTGGACTTGGAGTTGCTGGATGTGTAGACGGTTGATGACTCAGGGCTGCCTGAGCTGTTGGATAAAGACTTCCTGTCATCATATCCAAACCTGGTTCTGTATCTTCTTCTGCTCCATACCTGGGGCGAAGTTGGTCTAAATGTCTCTTCCAAATGGGACCATTTGGATAAATCTTTACCTTGAAAAGACGTGGACTCATAACTTGGATGATTATACCGGGAGCCCATCGTGGTTTAGAGTCTGTTGCTGTTCCATATACTCTGACGGAACATGGATCTCCCTGGTTAAATGATCAACTAGGACTTCTGTTTGTCCCATTGTGGAAGGCTATTTCTTTAAAATATTGTCCATTTGCTTGATGAGCAGGAGAGCGAACTAGAGTATCAATAAGTGTTCTTATTTGCCGATTTTTCAGCAGTTGGCTAGGATATAATCCACTTGCCAATGGTGTCCTACGATACTGACGCAGAAAGTCTTGTAGAGATTCCTTTAAAGGTAATGAGGATTTCTTTAGTGAACTCTTGAAGCTTTGAATCGTCGTACTGCAGCTCCATTCGTAGCAGGATAGTAGGGAGCGCCTGCAAGATGTACAATACCTCTCTGCTTACACCAATGCTGAAATTCTTCTAAGATGAAGCTAGTAGCATTGTCACTGACCATGGTGTGAGGATAGCCGAAATGAGCAAAATCTTCCTCCAGAAGATCAATGGTGGCTTTGGTCGATGTAGATGTTGTCTTGTGGATACACGGGTACTTTGAATAAGCATCTATCACCACCAGCCAATGTGATCCCTTAAAGTTAATGGCATGATCAATATGCACTCGACTCCATGGTTTTTATGGCAACATCCATGGGTGGATACTTGCTTTGTTTTGGTCTCTGGCATGTTCTGCACATGCTTGGCATGTTCGACCTATCTCCATGATTTGAGTATCAAGTCCAGGCCAATATACAGATGATCTTGCTAAATGTTTCATACGCTCGATTCCAACATGTCCTGTATGCAGGATTTGGAGAACTTGAGCTTGTAGTATTTTTGATACCACAATTCTTGAACCATAACATAGACAATTCGACTCCACGGAGAGTGAGTCTTGAATATTTTTAAAAGCTGCTATATTAGCTGCCTCTTTGTTCAAGTGTTCTTTGTTTGTAGAGGACGGCCAGCCCTCTTGACAATATCTCATTACTATAGACACAGTAGAATCTTTAATTGACTCTTTAGCAAGGACTCTTCGGTCTGTTCGTCTGATCTGTAAACTGATTTGTTTGATCATACATACAGAAACCATGTCTGCTTCAATTTCTTCCACGTCAAAAATGCCATCAGGCCCTGAGGGTAGACGACTAAGAGCACCCGCATTGCAATCTTCAGTTGACTTACGGATTTGTTCACCTGCTTTACTCAATGAGTTTTGATTAGCAATGTGATTTGTCCTCGTTTGAAACATTGTGTCTATCGAAACCTTGAGGTTCTTTATTGCAGTTCTGCCCAACAAGTTTAAGCTGTGGTTTTTCACTAATACAAATGACAAATTGGTAGTTATTTCGCGTGCTTCAGCCTGCATCTCCACACCTCCCAAAACATTAAGTAGGTCACCAGATGCTGACTCGTACTTGACCGCTACTAGGCTCAATTTAGGTTGTCCCAGCTTTCGCCAAACAGATTCAGACATAAAATTTTCTCCGGCTCCAGTGTCAATTTCAAATGCAAACCTCTTTCCACCTAAAATGAGTTCTTGAATAATGGGCGGGATAGTTTTTATTTGGTTTTGCCTTCTTATTCTTTTGAGATGAATCGGTTTCTGTTTTGGAGCATTCTCTTTCTTATTTAGACAAACTCTTTCTTGATGTCCTCTCTTGTGGCAAAAGCGGCAGATCACGTCTTTGTACCTGCAGATATTTCCTTTATGGCCTCTTACTCCACACCTGCCACAAGTTCCACACGGAAAATCTTGTCTATGAGATAGAGAAAATTTCTCTGCTGTCTGATGCTGCTTCTTTCTTTGTGTCTGAATTTTATTGCTAGGCATTTCTTCATGGACTGTTTCTTTGGCACATTTCGCTGCTTCCTCTGTTTCAACAGCTATTTCTACTGCCTTGTTGAATGACAGTTCAGTGTCCTTCATCCGAAACAAAAATTTTAATACGGCCTCATTCTTTACAGAGCACATGAATCGTGTTCGTAAAGCTTCATCTAGAGGATTCTTGATATTACTAAACCCACAAGTCGCTGCATCCTGTCTGATCCTAGCTGCCAATTCTTTGATTGTTTCCCCCGGTTTTCTACTAGAATCAGACCAAAATTTGAGCCTTTCCCTGATTACAAATTTGGTGGGGTCAAATTGATCCATCATTATTCTATATATTTCTTCTATGTTCAAGTCATTTAACTTTTGTGGTGGTTCTTTTTGTTGTACGATGGTTGAAAACATTCTATGCAGCTCTGGCGTCTGTCTTGTTAAAAAAAATGTGTGCCTGCCTTTCCTTTGGCACATTATTTGCCCACACGAAGGTCACGTATCTAGCGTAGTAGTCTGTGAACGTCTCCTCGTTACTATTGAAATGTGCAAACTTCATATTAGTAGCCGTATTACCTGTTGCTTGTTTCAAAAGTAGCTCGTTCTGTTGTATGAGCTTCTGGATAATGTCAGCTTGGGTCAGAGTTGACTCCATTGTGTACTTACCTCCTCCGTCCCGTGAACTCACTCGTGCGTATCAAACTATCACTCGGTTGTACTGAGTTGTACTGAGTTTTGTATTGAGTTAATACTGACCATCATACTGTGTCGTTGATGCTGTGATGTTTATACTGCCCACCATTTTGTTATGTTTTCATTGTTTTTATTTCAAACAAGTAACATAAACATATATCTACATAAATACAAGTTCTCAATCAGGTGTTGACTTTCTGCTTGCGTCCGGAACACGGTTCATAACATACACACTCTCTCCAGTCTCTCTCCGCATGCACGCTGTTTCCTTGGCTGGCTATCGGTACGGTCCAGTCCGCTAGTCCACCATAAAA